CAAAGAGCCACATTTTTCAAGCCATCTAGCCACACTCAACTGGCCAAAGTCACATGTGGCTAGTGGCTAGTATGTTGGACACCACAGCCCTAGGGGCTGCAGGGACAGAGGGCAAAAAGGCACGGAGGGAGGAAGGCAGAACAAGCAGGGAGCTGCTTTAGCCCTGCTCTACTATTGTTGGCATGTCTCTGCATGTCCCTTGTGGGGAGGGAGTCTCTGTGTGCTGCCCAGGGCAGGGGCAGCATGTGTGGAGCTGCCTCCCTCACCACACACACATCCCCCCACAGGGGCATGCAGAGACTTGTCAGCAGCTGGCCACTTCCAGGAGTGGCGTGGGGTCACTGGCCATGGTATGCAGGCAACCTGCCTGAGTCCTGCTGCACTGCCGCATTTTGGGGGCCCCCTGTCATTGGGGGTCCCATGCTAACAAATGTGTGTTTAATGGTAAATCTGTTCTTGAATGTATTGTTTAATATGAATTCCCATCAGGAAGGTATTATAGCTCTATCCCAGCTTCCCTTCCTTTGTGGGGGCAAATAAGGGATCTGTCCTACAACTTATATTTGTGCCCACAATTGAGGACAAGTGCAGAAAAACATGGGTGCAATTGTACAAGCACAAATTGTGCTTTCTGGGTCTTAGAAACTGTTACTCTTTGTATGAAACCATAGCTCTAATGTTAATATGTGCTCTCTAACACACAAACAGGATTAAAAATGCATTCATTTCTGTGAAGGGAGTTTTCCAGCTATTCTGGTCTCTAGGGCTACGTCTACACAGCAGCGCTATTTTGGGATACCAAAGGTACCCCGAAATAGCTATTCCACGTTTTTTGAGCGTGCCTGTTATTTTGAAATATAACAGGCTCACTATTCTGAGGTCGCTGTAAACCTCATTCCATAAGGAGTAAGGGATATTTCGGAATAGTGATTTATTTCGAAATAAGTGCTGTGTAGACAGTGCCAAATTTAGAAATAAGCTATTTTGAAATTGACTCGAAATAAGCTACGCAATTTGCATACCTCAAATTGCATAGCTTATTTCGAGCTACGGGTGCAGTGTAGACTCACCCTAGGTAAATAAAGTAGAATTCCATGAAGATCAAAATATGTTCCACATAAGGTTAGGGCCTGATTCTTCAACTCTTTAGTCATGTTATCCTTTACCCATGTAAATAACCTCTCATGAATAACTACTTGTGAAAAAGATTTGCAGGGCTGGGTCCTTAGCTTATATTTACACCTTCTCTCAGCTGAAGGACTTGATTGTTTTGACTTTCTGCCTGCTGAATCCAACTGCATTAGAGCTTGACTGAGTGTCACTGTTACCACGAGTTATTATAGTTTTGTACTGGAAATAGAACAATTTAAGTAAAAAAAGAAACCCACTTTACAGGTTTGTGATACACATTTTACTGAGTGTTTGTGATAGTTGCTGAATGCATTGCTCCTTTATATGATGTCAATGCTATATTTTGTGTGAATGGAAAAGTCATTACAAATCTCGTTGATGGGAAACCTGTAGTGACTGAGAGCCCTAACTTTTCAATACTTCTTTTAATTCAGAAGAATCCGCCCTTGAGGTGTTGTTAGTGAATGTATATTTAAAAGTGATATATTTTGGTTACTTCACCCACAAATGAAATGCAGCCTTTTTCTGGGTTTGAGGAATGCACAGCCCAGATACAGCAGCACCAATATTACATAACACATAAGAATAGTGAGTAAAAAAATGTGGCCACTTGAAATTCACCAGGAAACTTATGTCAGCTAGGGGGTTAATTACTTCAGGCAGAATGTAACTGGTTATTTAAGTCATATATCACCTGCCCACAGCTGACTGGGCTCATGAAAATCTACTGTAATACAATACTAACTTTGTTTCCCTGAGCAGCACGCTGGGAGGAATTGATCTAATTAATTAGACAAGCCAGATTCTCCACTGCCCTGCACCTCAAGCGAGTTATTTATGGCACTTCAAAGTGTGTATAAAATGCAGCTAAATCGGAATGGTAATGGTTCACACGCCCTTTGCACTTGTGTAAATGACTGCATAAGGAGCAGGGCAATGTGTCTAATTGGTCATGCCTAATTTCTCCATAACCAGAAGTCACAATATTGTACGTGAATTTTGTGTTGCGTTATGCAGAAGGTCTGACCAGATATTTGTAATAGTCAATTCTGTCCTTAAAATCTATGAATCCATGGCCTCAAAACTA